GCTACGTACAATGGAAGTAAAATAGAAAATTACACGCAAATTTGAATAATTTTATTAGATCCAGAGTTATAAAGTAAATCATAAAAAACGTATGAAATGTACAATAAAATTTAAAATATTTGCTTTGTGCACAATTGGCATATTAATTGAATTTCAGAGGAAACTTCACTAAGCTATTCTATAGTATATTCATTAATATTATTTTCTCAATATTGCATAAGTCTCAGCTTTAAATGCCTCTGAAATGTCTTACAAGAAATGTATACTAAATCAAAGTAGTTCAACAGGAAATTAGAATATCTAAGTCATTGCTGCTCTTCACAATCTATTAAAAAACAAAGTTTAGAAGACAAAAAAAGCGCGGATAAAAATAGTAATAATATTTTACAAATTATAAAAGCAGTTTTAATGAAATTTTGATTACGGCACGTTAATGATTATGGATATGTAAAATCTCCGTTTAATCATTTATATGCATGTTTTTAAATTGTGTCGGATTAGAATATAATTAATTATTCTGATTTCTTAAAATATGATCAATTATAAGAGTAATTGTTGACTGTTTATTTCAATTTGGGTAGTCGATGATGGCAAATAAGGTTATAAAAGATTTTACGATCGATTATAAATCTGATATACTAGTTTATTACACAATTCTATTGATCATTTGAATTATTCTCGATAACATATCATTATCTGCATTCATATAGCTTTTTGCTTGTTACTTACACAATGAATACTAATTCGAACTATTTGCATTATACAGAAATCTGATAATAATATGCCAAATAGAAATAATTGATGTCTTTACACTTATAGGGGCCTTAAAGAAGAAGAGAAAAAAAATAAATAATAAAAAGAAATCCTCACTTCCAAAGTGCATCATTATTTTCCGAAGGCGGATTATTTTTCACACTCTTCTCGCTTTCTTTCTCATAATTTCTGTCCTAATGTAGATCCGTTGAAAGCCACGTGCACCCAAATCGATGGAGCGTCATATGACCTTTCACTTTTTTCCAGTCAATTTGTGATTATAAAGAAAAACGATTCTCGGTATAACGGCATGTGATTCACTTCATTCTCGATTTCATTATTATATTAATTTTAGGAAAGGATGCTTAAAACTCGTGGAGATGAAAACAAAAATTTCCTTGAAAAGTGTATGTACTGTTACAAGCTAAGATCAATAATATTCATCATAAATTGATGCAACCAAATTTTTTCATTTCGACGAAAATCGAAGTAGCCAGCGACGCATGTCATACATATATTTCACGACGGTTGAAATTATTCGAGTAATAAAAATTGACAGTACCCCGTTATATAATTAACTGAAATTTATGTAGTCGTCACTAAATTTAGATTAGTCTTTTCAACGAAGAAGAAGAAAAAAAAAAAAAAAAAAAAAATTTACATCGTAGATTCATTTAAAAATATTTAATAAGAAAGATAAAATTAGTAAATTTACGTTAATATATTAAGTTTGAATTTAAATAAAAATATTTTATACGCGTAAATAATGTAGGCTACTGCGTAAATCCTAAATATTTTTATTAAATGAAATGGCAGAAAAGTAGAGAAAATCTTTGGAAATAAATTAATTAAATCCACTATGAATAAGCGATGGCATTATAGATTATTCTTTAATCAACTTTACTCAATTCTAAACTACTTCACATCCAAGCTCCATTGAATTAAGTACCGAATTCTCCGTAATGCGAACGCTTGGATATAAACATTATCTAAAGCACGGATTTATTACATTGACATCGGGTTAGCCACTGTAAACTTCTTAAACTCGTATTGTTTACGCAGCCACCGAAAGCGAACCCATGAGAGCGATTCCTCGGGGGAAATGTACATAGTAGCGTCGGCTCTCGTCGCCTCATCCATGTTACGAAGAAGACTCGCGCAAACACCGAGTAACAGCTTCATCCATGAAACTAGCAAATGCGCGATCATTTATAAAATGTAATGCAATAGCCAAGGTAAATACGTAGCAATAGGCAACGAGTGATAATTAACGCTCCTTTTAAATGGACGGGTGAATTGTTTGTAAGATCTTAGATTGTATTCGTGCGAGTCTAGCGAGTGCGACCGACAATCTATTTGGAGAAAATATAAAATCGTTATTCTACGATGGCAAAAGTCGTTCGCGACTCTGCGGCTTAATATTTGCATTATGGTGTTGCGACCTGAACTTTACAGGTGTTTCGGAAGCTCGCGGTTCCTCGTCCTTGTTTCTGCAAGATTAGATGATTATTGGCGGCCAAGGCGTAAATTATTACTTCTCACAAACTTCTTCGCGCTTTTAACTTTGATTCAAGCGCGACATTAATTCATCGGACTAATGTATTAATCATATTAGTTGCACAGCTTTTACGACGAATCATTGTTTACATCGATCCCTCGGTCCATTAAAGTATCTCTAGTGATAAAAAGAGTCCAAAGCTTTCCTTATATTCTCATCACAATAGAGTTCAATTAGCAGAATTAAAACTATAGATAGAGAATGTAAAATTATTAGAAAACACGTCTTGTTCGTTTTTCAATTCATAATAAATTATTGCTTCACTAATAATCCACGCCAATAATAATTCATCAAAAAATTTCAAAAGTATAGCAACTGAATTGAAATTTTAAACGCTGATTTAAACAGCTAATTACAAAAATTGTCCATTTAATTTGAAAGAGCTCTGCGATCGATCATTTCGTAATCGTTGTTAATTTATATCCGAGCTTACGAAGGCATGGGTCTATGAAATAAAAATGTTAGAGGAATTAAAATGTCAGATATTGCTATGGAAAAAAGGAAGCAATTTACTCAGTCTTCGTTAATTCCGACAAGATACATACATACGAAAATTGGTGAGGGTTATATTTCAAAAGGACAGCTGTAAAGAGAAAAAGAGTGATAGAAAGTAAGATGCAGCACACTGAGAGATGGTTAGATAGATAGATAGATGAATAGTGTGTGTATGTGTGAAAGAATGAGAGAGAGAGAGAGAGAGAGAGAGAGAGAGAGAGAGAGAGAGAGAGAAGGAGGGAGAACAGTCACTGTGGGAGCACAACAGTTCGTGGTAGCTACGACTCTAAATCAGCTTGAAGTTATGCGTCGACTAATCGCCGCTAACTCCCCTCCCTCATCCCGTTCCTCCTCCGCGGGCCAAACCAAATATAACTAAACGAACGAATGCTTAAATGACGCGGCCGATTAGCGTCTGAGCCACGCGACGATGAATCCCGACGACAGCTCCCTTGACTCTGCCTGACAACTGCAACAGCATCCGCGAACTGCTTTTTTCATATCTCGTCCTCTTAGTTTTTTCCTCCTTTATTCTCAATTACTCGTTCCCACTCTCGTCTCCCTCTCACTCTCTCTCTCTCTCTCTCTCTCGTCTCTCTGGCCTTCTCTCGTGCCCTCTCTCACACGATGTTTACAAAAGAATATTTCAATCCATGCTTGCTTGCGTAGCTTTGGAGTCTGTTTTTTATCATAAAATGCGTGAAAGAACTTTTGTGTTTAATAGATCTTTAAATTAATCGCCAATTTAATTATTGAGTTTGATGATGTATCAAATATATTAATTGTCAAATTAATTGCAAACTATAATTGTCGGGATAATTAGATTTTCAAATACTTTCTAATCAATATTAATATAATAACAACATTTTAGGTATAAGCAAAACAATTAGACTTTAACTTAATAAATTGGCATACTATATATATATATATATATATACGTCTATTGTTGTGTATAATCAATGGAATAATCGTCGTTTGTCACAATAATGAATGTTTCTTAATTAATTATTATTACAATTAAAATTAGTTAAAATAAATTAAAATTTTCTTCATTCTTTTGTTTTTGCTGTTGTTAAGCACAATTGTTTAATAATTTCATCATAAACGTAACAATTATTTTACATGACAATTTTATTTGTTTTCGTATAGAAGAGCGTTTACGAAATAATTTGTCAAAAAGAGACCGAGAGCTCCACAGACAATGTACATATAAAATAATTAATACAAATAAATCAATGAATTATTTAATAAAGTAATTGTTTTACCGTTTTGTCAATCGATGCTCACTTAAACGAGATCAGTCAAATTGTTATGAAAATCTTTTCTTTGCGTTATTAATATGAATGAATTTGAGTAAAAAATATCGTAAGGGTAAAAAAAAAAATCCCTCACCAAGCTTCATCTAAGCTATTTCTTCCTTGACTTTTACTTCTCGAGTTATCAGGCCTACGGTTATTTTTTTCTTAAAACGCTCTGTCTGTCACGAAGCTACTTGGGATTCATCTTTTTTGATTTTTCCACTTCTTCACGCTAAGTCGTTGTCCTGCTTGTCCTTTTATTTCTAATATATTAATACACGCCAGCTCTCGTGTTTGCCTCTCCTTCATTTTCTGCTCTGTCTCCCGTTCTCTTCTCTTCCCTTCCGTCCACGGCTGGCTGTAGTAGATAAATAACCGTAGGACTGTCACGGAATTAACCGCAGCGATCGTAGCCGTTTTCGAAAATAACCGGATTGATTAATACGACATTCGGAACATCAGTGAGCCTCGTCCAACGAAAATGTTGCGAGAGACAAACGCCTCGGGAGTCCCCGGTGCTGCATAATATAGACACTCCAATTCTTTCAACGATGTACGTATACGATATACGTATTCATATATAAGTATATATATATATATATATATATATATATATATATATATATATACACACACGTGCGCGCGCGCGCGTGTGTGCTCGACATATAAAACGCATAAGAAGAGCTTCGTTCGACCGCTTGCGAAATCATCTCCATACAAATTAGTTGCCACCATGTCCGAAGGCACTTTGGCATAGAAGCGGAGATTATAAAATAGCGAGATGGCACTCGTAAAGCTACTGGCCAAGCGCATAACTCAGATGCGACTCCGAAGGTCGATTGCGCAGTCGACACTTGTCAACTGCCCTCCTAACGACGTTGGCTTCGATGTTGCAGAGTGGGCGCAGAGCGACTTCAGGGATGAGGCCAACAGTGGCCTCGCCAGGCTCGACTCCTCGGCGCACGGGGTTCACACCCCTGGAGGCAGCAACCCCAGCACCCCGGGCGCCACCCCTTCCACGCCCTCTGGCGGATTCTCCACGACGCAGTCGCGAAACCGCACCAACACCGTACAGAGAGATATCAGGAAAGGTAGGCCCGCGACTCTTAATCCCGTTGCCAATCTCTTCGAAAACTCGGCCTTCCGATTGATCTTGAACTACCTTTAACGCGCCAATAATGGTGCAATCTCATTTTCGAGCGACTTACATAAGCATGTAAGTGGCTAAGCAAACGAGCCGGTGTCCGACACACTTGATTCGTAATGAAGAGTGTAAGATTCTTTCGGTTCTTTTCGCGCAAACGATCCATCAAATCTATTTATAGCCCTTAGTTGCTCTTAACGGTGCAATATTTTCCAGCAGACGATTTATGCAACAACTTTTTCCAAGCAGAATCTTTCTTTATTACTTATAAATACACTTACTTCGTGTAAACGCGTAGTAAAGAAAATTGGACAAATATGAGAGAGGAAAGGCATTGGGAAGGTAACTTACGAGAAACGAGTTGAACGTTCCAGATTCCAGATTTCTATTAAAAAATGTTAGCGTTTGTTTACCTCTAAAGTAGCGAGTAATGAAAAAAAAAAAAACAAAAAACAAAAAAAAACAAAAAAAAGAAGAAAAAAAAAACGTCGATCAATCACGTTTTTCAAACTCGTTGTCACGCTCTTTTTTATTAACACGTTATTTTTTTTTTTCGCTAAACACCCAACCTCTTCCCTTCCATCAACCGACGCGTTACCTCGCACCCCCCCCCCCACCATCCCCCCCCCACCGCACCCCCCCC